ATTTCGATACTTTTTTGTGTGGATTAATTATGACTCCCCAGATTTCAGGCATAACGCTATACTGTTTTTCTTTGAAGTTTTTGTTTAGGTTTTTTTTGTTTGCATCCTGCACAGACTCAGAGTTAGGCACTTAGCAGATACTTATCAGTTAGCCTACAGTGGTCTACTAATAACTACCTTCTCCACCGAGGAACACCCTCTTCTCTATTAACTGAAGACATTTTGTCCATAAGAGACAAGCTAAGGATTCCAATGAGGAACAGTACATCTGTGGTGGCCGCCTGCCATGGGGTGGGGTAAGTGGAGAACAGAACCAGCACTCCCCTCTGCCTTGTCCTTTTCCTCTGCACCAAAGGCACAGAAATGCAATCACGAATGAAATTTGAAAGAAAACCTTATGTGTGTACACCACCTTGTGACCAGTTTGCAAACTACTCCCCCCCCCACACACACACAAAAAAAGCCTGAACACACTGAAATCCTCCCACACACTTCCCACCATCAGTCCAGGGAGACCAATGCCCCAAAATGTGATTATTTTCTCTGTTTTCCTCGCTTTGGATTGACCAGGAGAAGATAAGATTCTGAAATACACAAGGGAGTTTCAATGCCTTTTACCACCATAGGTTCTAACTTTGGAGATTTAAAAGAGTACAGAAAGGACTTTAAAAGCATACGGTCATTTGCCATCTCCCCCATTTTTGTTTTGCAAAGAGGAGGCTGCAAGAAAAACCAGATGAAATCAGTGGTACTTGAGGATTCTTGTTCTGAAGTGGCTTCAAGTTTAAAACAGTTAAGGATGCCTCCAAAGTACAGGTTTCCCCAGAAGTAAGTGACCCAGCTGCTTGGCTACAGTGCACCAGCTACTTATTACCTGTCCCTGGCTCTTGTGTCTACTCTGATTAGGGTTCCCCCACCTTCCAGGCAGCTCCCTTTTATCTGGGGACAGAAGCTATCTCCTTACTGCATACTTGGGGCAGCCCTTGCCAATGGCCAACTCAACAGTTAAGAGCAGTAAGTTCTTTTGCTTTAGTCTCCCTAGTATTAAAACCTTTCTTAACTTCCCTGTCATCAACTCAGCTCTCTTCCTCTTTGAATTTCCAGTTTTGTCTTTTAGGGCTTTAAATGGCTGGTACATTCCTAAAGTTAACTCTTTCATAAGCAATTTTATAGAATTTTCATTTTGTATTTTAAAAAGTTCTTTGCTCAACATCAGGCAATTTTGTTTCTATACATTTTCTGGATTTTTGTTTTGTATAATTTGATATCTTACTAATGGGACTGAGTGGTATAAGTGATAGGCTATTATTGGCTATTATTACATACCCAAGATGTAAAAGTTGAGTAGAGTATGTTTTAAGATTTAAAAAAAAAAATGATACTCCCCAATAATGTCCTTTTGAAACTATTTCTTTTAAATTCGTTATTTCCAACCCTTGTTTTACAATGTCCCAATGTGCTGTTATTTTGAGATGTGCAATTCTCAAAGCAAAATATGTATTAATTCATTATTGAAATATATATTTTACTACATATAGCACTCTCAAAAGTTTTAGAATCACAAATTCATTCCATGAACATTTACTGAGCACTTATTACATACTAGGCACTGTGCCAGGGAATATGCAGAAAAGATGAAAGATGTCTTACCCCTCCAAAAACTCCATCTAGCAGGAAAAACACATATACATGGCAATTAGGAGACGACGTGACAAGGGTTAAAATGCTGGTAGATACAAATGCTCTGGAGCATAAATTGACAATATGCCTTAAATAGGAGTTTGCAGTAGGAGTGGAGAGGGGGGTGAATTCCAGAAGGAACATGTGTAGAGGAGGCATGAAAGGGATTCTTAAAACGAGTGTTGGCATAGCATACAGTTAAAAAATAGCCTGTATGTGGGAGTGGTAAGAGATGAGGCTGGAAAGGTAAGCTGGAGGCAGATGGTGAAAAATCTTGTAAGCCAAGTTCAGGAGTTTCAACTTGATTCTGGATGCCAGTGGTTCTCCAAATGTGTGGGACTAGCAGCAGCAGTTTCACCTGGGAAATTGTTGGAAATGCAAATTCTTGGGTCCCACCCTAGACCTACTGAACCAGAAATTCTGGGGTTGGGCCTCAGCCATCTGTGTTTTAACAAGCCCTCCAGAGAATTCTGATGCATACCACACTTTCAGAACTACTGCTGCAGGCCATGGGAAACCTCTAAAGGATTTTAGGCAGAGAAACGACTGGATAAGATCTGGAGTAGGAAACTGGTTGCCAGTGATCAGTCAAGCACAGCACCTGGCTCCAGAGTAGTTACAGTAAAACAAAACAAAACCTGTTTAATGGGGAGATGAAGAGGGCCTAAAGCAGTCGGAATGGAGAGGAAACAGATTTTAGAGAAGTTTTACAGGGGACTCACATCCAATCACTTGACTAGGATATACTCATACAAAGGTATGACTGAAATGGTCTTTATATAAAAAAGCTGTAATCTTGTCAAATGTATCAATCACTAGATGTTTTAAGAAAGAAGTGGTTCTCACAGTCCCTAGAAAAACAGGGAGATCAAGAGCAATTTCTATGTGCTCCCATAGAGCAAAGGATACCCCAGCTTGTACATGAGTCTTCTGCTCTGCTTGGCAGTTCTACTCCTCACTGTAAGTCAGAAATTGGCTTTATATTAACATAGTAATCTTTGGTGAGTTTGGTTAATGTGAATCAATCCCTGAGACTAACTGATCATTTCTGGATGTGCTGGCAAAATTAAGTTTCGAACCCTGAAAAGCTGAGCAAGACATTGGTCTTTGGTGATCTAACCAAGGTACTGCCAAGGTGAGACCCTGCAAAAGCCTTTTTATTCTAATTACTTCACTGATCACACAGCCCACTCAATCAAGAAGCCTGAGTGGGTGAAAGAATCAGACTCTGTACTATGCCCTAAAGGTGAGGGAAGTCAGCTGGAACTGTTATGTCTTATTCGGGAGGCAGGATTTAGCAGAGGCAATCTTCAGTTTGCTGATGGAGAGGCACAGGTGAACCTCTATGGCTAGTCTACCTAATGGAATGTTGCCGGGTGCAATTCCTATTTCTGTTAGGACTCGGGACACCTGTTGTGACTTACGGCATGTTCTTTTGTTGGTATCATTATCTTGGCATATTTGGCCAACTTATTTTGTCCAACAATAGTAGTTCCTAATCAAAAACTGCCCTATTGTGTGCAATTTAAGAACTTTAAGGGACCCTGGAGATTCATATTATCTTCAGCTTTTGAAAAACACAAACAGCAAATTGCTTGTCTTGTTGGGCTATTAGAGGCCAGGGAAGCTTTTCTTGTAGTTTTTTATGTTTTCAAAAACTGGGATTAAATGTGAAAGCTCTATGGGAAAAAAATTAAACATAAAAAATATGGGAAGAAAATGTGCATGAACAATTCAAGGGGAGAAACACACGTTAGTTTATAAGCTATCTGTTCATTTTCTATCTTTGCCTATAAAGGGGTAACTTTATACTGAATATAGCCAATTACATCTAATTACACCTTACAGGCAAAGGAAATCTATCACTACTGTCCCTCAGATACGAAAATTTCCAAATTTTCAAATATACTGGTATTTGAGTAAACCTCTTATTTTGAGAGTTTAGAAAATGCTTCAAAAACTAGTTTAATCTCACATCCTGTTTGGGTATGTAGATGTGAAGAATTTGAAAGGCACATTTGGCCCCATTTCCTGTTTTCCAAACTTCCCACAGCTTTATACCAAATGTATGTGTAATGTAGAAGTTGGTGTCCACTCCCTATTCAGTATCCTATATATAGCATTTTACAGGCAAAGATTTCCCAGCACTTAGGGAAAACGGGGACAAGATTTTCATCATCAAGCATTATATTAAATTCCATGTGTGCCCTGCCTGAAAAAGTAGACTTTCATCCTTCTGTCTGGAATTCACATCAAGGATGCAGCACTCCCAAAGAACAGCACTGCTTTGTAGGCAAGATCCAAAGGACCAACTTTTTCAGGTTTGTGTCCATTCCTTATTTCCGTCAAAGGTAAAAAATCCGGGTCCGTTTTCATTTCATATTTGCCGTCTCGCTCCCTGACGTGAGTATTCAATTCTACTGGGCCAGAAATGCTAGTTAAGTCCAGAAGGCAGATGTCAGTTACTTTTTACCCAGAGGGGAAACCGCAGAGCATTGATTAAGGGCTGGAGGGCAGGGGAGGGAGTATCCAACGGTCTGTCCTAGGACTTCAGCTTTACCTGATTGGGGCCCAGCCTTTCCAGCCCTCGATCCCACACCGGCCGGCTCCCAGTGAAACTGGTCATGTGAGCCTGTTTACAGCCCGGCAGCTGGTGCAACCATCAGTATCGTGCGGAGGTCCAGGAAGGGGGACGAATACAGGCCACGTACGTCCTCCACCACCCCCCATTATTACTTCAAGAAAGCGTTCGCTCTCCCTCCCTGCCTCGCCACCCCTCTTTCACCTCCCTTCAGCCACTCCGGGACGCCTCGCTCCAGCCCCGCAGATTTCCTTCCAGTTGCTCGCTTGGGGGACCAGCAGGGCTGGAGGAAGGAGTGGGGAGGAGGAAGGGCGACGACGGTGTCACCCCGAGCAGGGAGTCAACCTCCCTCCCCTAGCCCTCCTCGCAACATCCGCCAGAGTTGTCCCTGGAGTCGCATCCCCGGGGCAACCCAACTCTGCCGGGCAGGCACCAGGAGGATCCCGAGGCGGCTGCCTGCTCCCGGGCACGAGGAAGCCACGCACGGGCTGGCCAGACCCTGGGGCCGAGATCCAGAGGCGGCGGGGCAGCTGACAGTCAGACACCGGGCAGGAAGGCTCCATCTGCCTGCTCCCCACCTCCCACCCGCATCCCGGCGCTGTGCCCCGGGGCGCCGCTGTCAGTCAGGGCAAGCCTGGGTTTGCGCGCGCTCTCTTTCCGCGGGGTCTCTGGACCACGTAACTTCCACGTTTTCGCGAAGTCAAAGGAAGTGGGTCACGGGACGGTGGGGGACTCTCACCTCGGCGACACCGGCTCTTCAGAAAGCAGCTGCGACTGCTTCTCGAGTCCTTTGTCAGCGTCTCGAGGCTGCACTGCCTGCTGGGATACCGGCGGACTCTAATACCACCCCTCTCCGCCCTCGAGGATGAGCTGCAGCTGGGGGTGGGAAGGAAGAGGGAAGAGAGGTGGAGTCGGAGGCGGGGCCATAGGCGGGGCTTCCTTACTGCCACCTGGCGTCTCGGGTTTCTTCCGTCTCTGAGCTCCCAACTTCTCCCTTCTCTGTCTCTAACCTGCCCCTCCCTCCTGCCGCCCCTTGAGGAGACCGGAGACTCTTAGAGGGCCATCTCTCTCTGCCCTTGTTAACGGGCAGTCACCCTTGACTCCACCCTTGTCATATTACCCGACCCACACACACACAGCAGACACACACACGCAGTGAGTACCCAAGGCTGGTTGATTGTACCTCTGAGACGGTATTGACCACCTTTCTCCACTCCATCCTCGGTGCTACAGGCTGTTTAGGCCCCCTGACTTTTTGCTTGGATCACTACCGTAGCCTACTGGTTGGATGCCCTCTTCCCACTCGTCTTTGTCTATACCATCTCCCAGACAGCAACCAGAGGAATTTCTATAAGATGTATATAGGTGACCATGTTACTCTTCTGCTTAAAATCTTAAATGTCTCCGCAGTACCTATAGCATGGTCTATAAGGTCCTCTGTAATCCTTTTCTGATGTGCCCAGTAGTCTAACCCAATAAACTGGCCATCATGGAAAACAGTGGGGCCTGGAACAACTCAACCAGTTCTGGCTGCCCCAAAATACTCCCTCTTGAAAAGAAGCCACACTGTCAGTAACATTCATAGGCCCCTCAGAGCATCATTAAAGATAGAGTTTTCAAAATTAAATCTTAATGATATTCAGAAAAGAAGAGTAAGGTGCAGCTGCCATAGACCCCCTCCCCACAAGCATAGGGCCCAAAGTATTCTCCCCAGTTGCCCCACCCTAGCAGTAGGTTGCCAGTAGATCTTGGGCTCAGGCTCCAGTTTATAGAGCCCTTCTCTGTCTTTGGAATACCTGAAATGCCACTTCCTTCAATTAACCTTCCAGGATCGATGAGAATGATTGAACTCCTGCTCCATCGCCATAGAATCTTGCTTGTTCTGCATTGCAATTCTTCCTGACATAGGTAATCACTCTTCCTTTCTCTCCTACCTAGGCTATGAATTCCTCAAAACTGACCCACAGCTGCCAGCACAAGGCCTAATCCAGAAACGACATCAACACAATGGATACCAAAAAAAAAAGACCTCAAATACAAATAATGAAATGAAATCCTTCAACTATTGCATCTGAAGCTGTAAATAGACCCAGAAAGGATCCCAGGCAAGGCCTCATACAGCCGCCACCCCCCTTCCCTAGGACATGTCCATCCTGACCTGGCCATGTGTCATTTTGCAAACACAAACTGGTTAGGTAGCAGAGCATTGCAAAAGGACAAAGCTTGTACTTCCCTTGCAGGACAGACTGGTTTGTGGAACAATATGTGGTTGTGGAAAATGTAACTGGTATGGTTTGCATGAAAATCCAGTGTAGAAAAGTTTCATGGTGCCATAGAAAATAACTGAGTTTCTAAATACAGACATATCTCCTACCTTTGGGAGGCTTTGGACTCCTATTTGCCTCAGGCTCCCTGTGGGCTCCATATCCCTTCAGATCTTGTACACTGTGTTATAAGGTATTCTTTTGCAAAAGAATGCATCTTGCTTTGTGTTGTTCTTGCATCATTTAATGAGTATTGGTTTTCTCTCCAATCACATTACAAGCTACACTCTGGCAAAGTTTCCTCTTCCCTAACATGGGAACAAGAATCCTTGACCTACCCAGTTTACCAGGCTGTTAGGAAGTTCTCATGTGGCAACAGAGTATATGTGATAATGTAACTATAGGATGCTCTTCAAATACAAGGTCTGTTTTATTATTTTTTAAAGTCTTTACACTCTACTACTTAGGTATGTGAATTTAAGATTCCACATTAGGAATGAAAGCCTTTATTGAGAATTCCTGGTGATAATGCTTTAAATAATGGTTTCCCAACATTTCCTGAAGATAAGAATCACCTAGAGCCCTGGTTAGAAACAGATTCCCAGAACCTACCCCAGACTCACTGAATAAAAATTTCCAGTAAGATTCTGCTTCAGCAATTCTATAGAATGGGTTTTTCCACACCACCAACCAGTTCTCTGACACCAGCTGGTTGTCCTACAATTCATCTCAACTCTGGCACTATCTACCCAGAGATAGCACCAGATACCACTGGTTAAGGGCTCAGTCCCACCAGACTGCTCTCCACTTCAGACACCAATCGCAAGTCCAGGTTATTACCCATACTTCTGAATAACCATCGATAAATCAGAGGCTCCCGTGACCCCCTCTTTGGGTTTCATTAATTCGCTTGAGCAGCTCTCGGGACCCAGGAAACCAGTTTACTCACCAGATCACCAGTTTATTACAAAGGGTATTAGAGGATGCGAATTAACATCCAGAAAAAGACATATATAAGGGAAGATCCCAAACAAAGGAGCTTCTGTCCCCAGAAGTTTGGGGCCCAGCATGGTGGCATATGGAAGTGTTCTGGTTCACCATCTCAGAAGCTCTCGGAAACCTGTTTTTGGGGGTTTTATGGGGCTTTCATTACATAGACATGATTGATTAGATTATTGGACATTTGTGACTGATTCAACCTCCAGCCCCTCTCCACTCCCTGGGGGCCAGGGGGCTGTGACTAAAAGTTCCAACCCCGCAATCACATGGTTGGTTCCCCTGGTAACCTGCCCCATCCTTAGGTGATTTCCAAAAGTCACCTTTTAACCTCAACTCAGGTGTGGTTGAAAGGGATTTGCTATGAATATCAAGACACCTATATGCTCTCATCACTCAGGAAATTCCAAGAGGCTCTGTGCCAGAAATGGGCAGGAAGACCAAATATATATTTCTTATTAAAAATCACAATATCACACAAGGGAAAAAACAAGGTGAACAGTGCAATTAGGGATGATACCAAGTGATTCTTATCCTCAGGCAAGTCTGGGAAACATGACTCTTACCAGTTAACCACATATCAGAATAAATTCACTTAGAGCTATTTCTAGAAAAAGTTTTTCAGATAAGGAGAAATCAAAACTGGAGCAGAACTTGGGAGGCTCCAAAAGGACAAACTTTAGTCTGTGTCACAATTGTGCCTGCAACTAATATGGGAAAAACCTTCCCCTTGAATTTCCTTGTCCTTACCCCAAGCTCTCAGAAACTGGCTTGAGACTCTGGCTTGCCGCCAACCTGATTCACCAGCCAAAGCCAAAGGGTTAAGCAGGCCCTTTACTGCCTCGATCCCAGGATTTTCTCTATGCTCAAGGACTTTGTGACCAACACTCCCTTAGATCCCTCTCTTCAGAGTATCCCCACAACGTGGCATTGAGTATGTGCTTATGTTGAGCTGACCTGTGAAATTGCCTGTTTACTGTCTGCTTCACCTACTTTACTAGGAGCTCCCTGAGGGCAACCACAGTTCAACTCCGTATCCTCATGTCCTAGCTTCATGCCATGCACACAGTCATTGATCAGCAAAAGTTTGCTGAAGAGCAAATGGTTTCCCTTTTGGCAGAGCCTATGCTAGCTTCTTCAGGAGAGACAGAGTGTGCTAGACACTGGCACTGGCAATTTTGGGATTAGGACTCAAGGCGAAGTATTGCTCTTAGCTTCATAGAGGCTCGCTCCTTTTGACCTGAGGTCAGCTTGAGAAGGGCATTCTGAGAGGAGTGGGGAAGACTGGTTCTCCTACTCCCTTGAGGCAAGGGCTGGCCTAGAAGATGTGGCTAAAACAGGATAGAACACCAACAAGGCTTCAGCTGCATTCTCACTCACTGACTACCCAGACACATGGCAAATCCGGACAGACAAAGGTCGTTAAGGCCATACCTTTAATTCTGGGCTGTTCAGAAATACTGCACTGCTATTCCATTTTGGATGCCTTTGCCCAGAGCTTCTCTCCTGTTCATTTCTGCCATAGCTCATTTTGGGTAAAAATCACAGTGATCATAGCTGCAGACATTTGGTGGCAGAACAGAAGAGACGGTTTTAATTAATTGCCTTGAGTGCTTTTTGTAACAGTAGGAACTGAGTTCCTGGCCCACTAACTAGCTATATGACCTCAGGCAAATCCTCTCTTCATCCTGGGCCTCAAAATTCACCCATCCATACAATGAACTTCCTGGTCTACAAGGAGTCTGTGGCAGGCCTGGCCAGAAATTTCTGTTCAAGGTCCTAGAAACATGGCTTTCTCCTGCCCTGATTTCCCACCCAAACCTATAGAAGCAACCACAGAAAAGTTGTTCCATATTTTTCTTCCCCTCTACCTTATGACCCATATTATAAAAATTAAAGTTACTAAATTACCAATTAGTCAGGAACATTTATTGAATTGCCAGCTAGATGTCAACATGATGTATGAATGATTTTGTATTATTTTTTTAATTGGGGAGCATTTTTCATGCTCCAGGAGCTTGAGGTAGCCTTGGTGATATGAAGAGGAGCCTATGGGCAGAGCTAAGGATGGTTTTGGCAAGCAGGGCACCTATAGGTTTGCACTTGTCAGTTTTACAACACTGTTACACAAGGCTCTTTATTCACTGTGCTGTTGAAAAAATGACCAATACCAGGAGGTAGTCTTAGGAATTGTATTAAAGAAAAGGAAGCAAAAGTAAGTCTTTTGTGTATGGGCGGTGACTGTGGAATGAGGCTTGTGAGGCAGTGAGCCTTATGGGAAGGATCATGGGGTCCTGAGCTATGGACACTAGGATAAGTTGCTTAGCTTCTCTGAGCCCAGATCCTTCATCTGTAAAACTTCTTTCAGTTGATGGCCTGAATATAAGAGAGAATGCACATTTGTAAAGAGACTAGAAAACATTGAAGGCACTCAGGACATGTTAGTTATTTATTATGAAGAATCTGAGACCTGATGAAGAGAGAGAAGGCCATGGGCTGCTGAGAGTGGTCCGCTTTGTTATGGAAATCCAAGGGGAGTCCATACCACCTAATGATGGTGTAGCCCACATAGGGACCTTGGTCGGGTTATCCCCAATTCAAGCTTATATCTCATC